GAACCAAAGGCGAGGGAAGCCGAGAGCTAAGGAGGAGAGTGGGCTCTCAATTTCCTGGTTGTCAGTGGCGGCGGCTATCATACCAGAATGGTGTGACTGTAATTACTAGGGACATCGAGTGGTAGATATGTAAAAGTTGTAGAAAGGTCAAACACGAGCAGAGGATTCATGCACAACTAATCTATATATACATATAGGGAGAGGAATGAGAGAGAGAGAAATGCTCAACTCAGAGAAGTAGAGGATGCAATTCGCTAAACATTTGAAGGTTGAGAGAATGCAGCTGTTCAAGAATACTCAGGTTCAGCTTGAGAAGATCAAGCAAGCTAAGTGGTCGGATTCGAATGGTGACAGAAAATGGAATTTTTGAGTTGTGAATTTCTCTGGGTTGAGTGATTGGAGATGGGAAATTTCTTTGATTTGAGTGAATTTCTCTGGGTTGGTGAGGAAAATTTCTCTGGCTTTGAGAAAAATTTCTGAGTTAAAGTAAGTCTAGAGAAATTCTTCCTTGGTCCAGAGAAATTCTCAACTCAGAGAAATTTCAAAAGAGCTGAATTATGTTTCTTGATTGTACTCAGTGCAATAATTTTGTGTATGCTCTGTTTTCAAATACCCTTACATTGGATGTGAGTTTACTTATGATCGTTTATTTTTCCTTCCTTTCTCAAATTAGAGAAATTTTTAAATTTCTCTGGACCAATTTTCTCTGTGACGTGAATTTTCTCTGGACCAATTTTCTTTGAATCAACTTGAGGGACCTTAGACATTATGAAAATATTTAGTGTTCTTTATGTTATAAAATCTTAATACTATGAACCCTAAAAAAAAAAAATCCAATTTTTTTACTAATCATAATATTTCTAAAATGCCAGCTAACTATGCTGTAGTCACCAAATAACTTCTCCCCCATTTGATAGTGTTGAGATAACAACATTGAAGGGGTCTGATTATAATAAACCCTAGTTCCTCAGTCCCAGTTTCTTGTCTTAAAGTTGGCCTAAAACAAGGTGTGAAAATCAAGAAAGATTGATGAATGCGAAACATAATAAAATCTTCTCAATTATAACCATTAATGCGATGCAATTAATCCCACATCAACTATATTCACCTTGTTTGGTTATCTCTGTGTTTTTTTTTAAGTGAATTTTTTAAATATTTTATGTAAATTTTTTTATTTTTTTTAGATACATCTAATCTAAATACACTAAAAAATTATTATATTTGTGAAAAAAAGCTTTTAAAAATTCATCAAATACAAAAAAAAAAGAGAAGAAAATTCAACATATTTTTGTATTTTATTGCATTTAATAAATTTTTACAGATTTTTGTATAAATTTTATGCTTGGTAAGTATATCAAGATTAAGTGTATTTAAAAAATAAAAAAATTGATTAAAATATTTATAAAAATATTTATAAAAAAAATCACTAAAAATATAAAATACGAATTAAGAACTAAAAAAATTATTTTTGAAAATTCTAAACCAAACAGAGTGATTAATAAGTCTTGTCTGATTTATATGCAGAATAAATCTAAATTATATATTGATATTTATGAGTGATTTCCCTTTCTTTCCTTTATAAATTTTAAAAAGTGAAAAAAAAAATCTTTAAAAAAGAGACACAAAAATAACAACCTTGTTTGGTTTTAAGTTTTCAATTCGTATTTTTGTATTTTTATTGATTTTTTAAAATATTTTAATTATTATTTTTTAATTTTTAAATTCACTTAATCATAATATACTTAAAAAGTAAAAATTCTATAAAAATCTTTTAAAAATTTATTAAATACAACAAAATACAAAAATATATTGAATTTTTTTTTATATTTTGTGAATTTTTTAAATTTTAATTTTACAAATATTATACTTTTTAAGCATATTTAGATTATGTGTATCTAAAAAATTAAAAAATGATTAAAATATTAAAAAAATTGGGTAAATTACACTGACACCACCTGAGGTTTATGTTTATTACAGTTCTCCCGTCACCTTTTAAAAATTACATCTCACTCCCTGAGGTTTAAAGTTTTATTATAGATTTCCCCCCTCAGTAATTTAATTTTTTTAAATACCAATTTGTTCCTCACTGGGTAAATTACATTGACACCCCTCACATTTTAGAAATTGCAATCCCCTTCCTAAGGTTTAAAGTAGTATTATTGTAGACACCCCATTTTTGACCGATCTTGAGACTCAGACGTCACCAGTTGAGCGCTCGGTGATATTGCATATTGTGCTCGTTCAGAAGTTTCAAAGTCTCGGCTGCGAGCCTTGCCTCCGGACTTCCGGACCCTTTCGTGCCTTGCCTCGGTTTGCGAACCAGGCTCCGTTTTCTCTGTTTTCTCTTCCCGAAGGGAGGGAGATGTCTCATAGATCATCTCTCAGTGGCCGTAGGCTACGTTTTGTGGTCGTAGGCCATTTTTCCCGTTTGGAGCTCGGTTTCCGATTTTTCGGAGCCAACGGCCATGTGCCTCGGTCCGGGACCGCCTAACCACCTCCGTTTGCTTCGGTTTTTGGTACACACCTTATTTACTCCCTTTTGGGGGACACTGTGGCCCGAGAGACCAAATTCGTGGTCGAAAGCCACCTCCGGTGCTTAACAGCCCATTTTCGGGGCCCCAAGCCGCGCGTTTCGGTCCCCGAACCTCCATTTTGCATCCGTTTTGGTTCATTTTTAGTGGAGGCCTTATTTTCATTGTTAGGAAGCTTGTAGGAGGGTGGAAGGCCAGCAATTGTTCTGAAAAGTCAACTTTATTTCTTCATCGCTCTCCGTCACCCGTTTTCCTCACTAAAAAGCTAATGTTGACCACCCCGGGGCCACTTTCTTTAGCCCTAAACCCCATATTTGTGTTGTACACACCTGGGAGGCCACCAATATTGCTCTGGCTGCTGCTCCCTCATCACTTGCTTGCTTGTCCTTTACCGCCGACGTCCCTTCTCTTTCACTAGTGTCTTCCTTCTTCCTCACTGGCGTCTTCCTTCTCCCTCACCAGCTCTCTCTTTCTCAAACCGCTGTACGAGTACGAAGAGGAACCAAAGTTCATTCTGATTTTCACTCCCTAATCGACTCTCTCTCTAGTATGATTTGCCTTTCTCCTCTATCAACTCTTCGATTTGCCTTTCCTTCTCACCATTTTTAGCTCACTGATTTCTGTTATTTTCTAAATCTGTCATCTCTATTTGGTAAAACCCTAGCTCTTGATTTTTTATTTATTTATTTGTGTGTATGAATCGAATTTTAAATAAAGGATATTTGCTCTGTATGTGCTTTGTATATATCTATATGTATGTGCTCTATCGCTCGATTCTCTTCTGAGTTTTGTTCTATTTCTAATTGTGTAATCTCTGATCTTCTAAGTATGTTTTCAGATCTCTCTGTTTGACATATGTATACACATAAATATGTGTGTGTGTGTGTGTTTATGAAGTTTGTTGGATTGGATTGAATTGAATTGTTGATTATTTTGTTCTGTGAACTGTAATTCTGTGATTTTGTTGCTTTAGTTTCTGGAACACTGTTTGTTTGATTGATTTTGTTCAAAAATAAATCATTTTAATTACAACTATTAGTTTGAGAAATATTTGATTTTTTATTTGTTTGTTTGTTAACATTACTAGGATGATCATTTATTAATTTGTTTTTGTTTTAAATTTTTATTTTTGATTTCTTTTAGAAATGCTTCATTCTGTCCCTTCTCTGACCAGCGTTGACCTCTATGGCTTTATTATATCTTGTTAGGGATGTGCTGGATCTATTCGGGGAATTTTTGGAGTTGGGGAAATCCGATCCCCGTTGGGAGGAGGGGGCAAAGGTGACGATTCCCCGCCGGGGATTGGGGACGAGGACGGGAAATTTAGCACCTTCGGATATCAGGGACGGGGAGTGTAATTCTCGCCCCTACCCCAGCCTTGTCCCGCCCCATTGCCATTCCTAGGGCCGATTCTGAGTCAAAGTGACTAGAAGTTTGATATAAAAACCATCACAAAATTTATTTATTTTGCGAGGCATCACCCTAAGAGCATTCATATTAGCTTAAGCTTCCGTTTGGCATAAGTTAAAATGGAGTTATCATGTTAAAATAGTCCTAAAAAGATAAAATAAAATGTTACATTCAAATTATAATTATTATTTTTTTTCTCACAAAAGTCAATTTTTTTTAAAAAAAATAACTCAACCTAAATAAATTTTTTTATTCAGGCAAAAAGTCAATCCACCTCCCCAAGGAAGCCTTACTCTTTTAAATCTAATGCTTCTTAGATTAACTATTTCAAATTACACATGCCTACACTGCAGGAAATGACAATTTTGGCGACCAAAATATTAGTCGCCAAAAGTCCCATTTTTGGTCGCCGAATCTAATTAGCGACTAAATTTTTTTGTCACCAAGTTCGTCGCCTATACCCTATTGGGGATAGTATTGGTGACTAAACTATTTTTGATCGCCGAAAGTTAAACATTTGGCTACTAAACTTTGGTTAGTCGGGAAATGTGATCTTTTGGTGACTAAATTATTAGTCGCCGAAATTGAACTCTTGGCTACTAAACTTTGATTAGTCGGCAAAGGCATCTTTTGGCGACTAAAATATTAGTCGCCAAAAGTTCTCACAGAAAACAAAATTAAACTATTAGAGACTAAAATTTTAGTCGCTAATAGAAGATGTACATTTAGCGACCAAACACTTTAGTCGCCAAAGGATGTCATGTTTTTAGTGACTAAAATATTTAGTCGGCAATTAACCTTCCCTCATTTTGATTTGTTTTAGCAACTATGTGGTTTGGTCACAAAAAGTCATTTGGTTATTTTTTGCTACTAAATTATTGGTTGCCAAAACATTTGCTTACATTTTTTGCTACCAACATATTTAGTCACCAAATATTATATTAATTTTTTATTTTTATTTTTTAATTTCTGAACCACCTGTATCCATTATTAGTGCAACATGTACCTTGTATAAACAATATAATCCATCAATACTGAATATATTATCAACCATTCAACAACGTGCACACATTTCACTTCCAACCATCCAAAAAATTTATATTCAACGTCCAATTCTAAATGTAATACAAATTCCATACGAACCAAGTATAATTCAACCCCAATAATTTAATTCCATACATATTAGAGGATTAACCAAATTTAATATCCAAAAGGAAATCTATACCACACCAAAAATTTATTCTGCACCGCTCCAAAAACTAATTTGTACCACGTCCAATGCTAATTTCTATCAGGCCAAATTTTGGATATTTACTACGCCGAAAATCTAATTTGTATGAACCACTATATATACGGACGGAGATATAAAAACAATGCCCTTCCGTACTTGTCAAAAAAAGTCATATCCACATTTGTACGTCAAAAACCATCTGCAAAAAAAATAAAATAAAAAATAAAAAATTAATCATTAGTATTGACTAAATATTGGCCAATTTAAAATTATAAAAAAAACATATAAAACTCAAAATTAAGTAATCTTTTCAAATTAATCATTAGTTTTGCATACTCAAATATATATGAAATAAAATTTTTGATGTTCAATCTGAGTACATACGACATATGAATCTAGTTGCTCTATTTGATGTTGCTAATAAATTGATGTTGCTATAAAAGTAATCCTAATAATAACTGGAAATTCAAACACTTGAATTTAGTTGCTCTATTTGATGTTCAATCTGAGTGCATACAATATAGATTAATATATACATATTAGTCCTTCAAGAACCCATAATAACTGAAACATCAATTCAAAAAAAAACATACCACAAACCCATATGTGCTACTCTCTATTGGCATTCCATAAATCATGAACCAAGCAGCATTACAAATGCATCCCAAAACTTTGAATAATTGGATTTTAAGGTTTGATAGCAACACAAGGATATGAAACTAGTATAGTCAAGTGTATGCCATAGATATAAGGAGAAGGAGCCTAAAACAGATACACAAAACAGCAATCCTCATATTGATAACATCTGGGGCACGCTTATAGCAATGAAATGCAAGTGGTCAGATATGACAGTAAATCCCTCCCACCCCCACCCAACCTCAACTCTGTGGGTGTACGGTACATGTGTTCATGGTGGTGCTGGTGGCATGGGTGGGCAAAGCCAATTATTCAAATGCATGAAAATTTACATATCGCGAAACAGAAACTTACTCATTGCATCAGTTTTTGCAGGATTACTTTCCTCATTGCTACAATGATCAATGCCTGATTTTTTACTAGATATTTCTGGTTTGGTACAGGAGTCCTCGGTTTCACCATCCACCATTCTAGATTTATCCCTAGAAGTTCCATCACCATTCTCCTGCACAAAAATCAAAACTTCCTTCTTCTCAAATAGAAAATATTAAAAAATGCTGAGTGCAAGCACTTCTGAATGCTGCTAAGGTACATAACGAGTAAAAAATAATCAAACGATAAAATAGATATAAGAAGAATATGGTCCAACCCAAGTAAACTCAAATCTCCAAACTTTTAAGAATTGTAAAATGTACTAAATTCTCTAAACTTAAAGAATTGTAAAATATTCCATTTTAGTTCAGACATAAAAGCGTGAGTAGCGTCTACCTATCAATTCCAGAATTCTCTAGCCCACTCTTCTATAAAGCATGAGCAGTGTCTACCTATCATATGAAATTTCCAAGCAATTCAGAACATATTTATCATTCACACGCTGCAGTAAACGAATTTCTCCACTTCATCGACTTTTCTTTAACTATATTAGCAATGTTCATAAATGGTCGATTCATGATAACAATGGCCATTTTAGCTGTTACCTAGGCATAATTTTCCACAATGTGATTCAATAATACCACACCATCCTTGTTCGTCTTGTACCTCTATTCTCATCTTCTTCAATGTGCAAGCAACCATGTGACTATGTGAGGCAGGCTTCACTACAAATACCATTGATGTGAAATCAAGCAATGAGTAACCATTCATTTAATTTATTTCACATCTAAATCTTATCACAAAGAAGAGGAGAGCAAAGATTAGAGAAAGGGTTAATCTGCACAGAAAGGGCTGTTTATACAAGTAACACTAACTTGGCTCAAAGATTAGTTGTTCAACACATTTGAAAAACTTGGCTCAAATTCTTAGGCTGTTACATTATTCCCCTGCACATTTTTCATTTAACTGATGTGTGTGCTTGTGCTTTTTTGTTTTTAATTTAATAGTTATAATGTTATCATGTTATCATTTTAATTCTTCTATTTTATTTATTTATTTTTCTGTTTAAAAGTCATGGTATATGCATCCCTCTTTTCTGAATTATTAGGCTTCAGTTTTGGTTGTGGCTTGTAACCGTGCTAATTATCTTGAAAGGGCTCTCAAATGTATTCTAAAGTATGCTTAATATTTGTGGGCATTTTCTAGTGCTCCTGATTAATTTGCTCATATTTCAATAAATAAATTTAAAGGTAAATTAACAATATCTCCTTACAATTTGCCTAATTACATATTAGCCTCTGTTTTTTATTTAATAATTACATCTTTTACTGTTGGTAAATGAGGGCTATTTCACAAGTCCAAATATGAAGCATTAATTAAGTACATATGGAAAAGCACTCAGTACAAATACTAATCAGTTTTCCATATATAAAAAGCATTAATTAAGTCCAAATACTAACCAAGATCACATGAATGCACCATACATATGCTACTATTGTTTTCCATATATAAAAAGCACTCAGTACCCAATTTACTGAGTGTGTGTGTGTGTGTTTCAAGGGATGAAGAAGACCACTAACCTCTTTTTTATTTTTTTATTCACTTAGTTGATGAGTAGAACTCATACATTACTTAATTATAATTAATTCTTTATTTTCTTTTTATATTATTTCCCAAATTAATTTACATGAAATTATTTCTAATTAAATTATATCTCATCATCTCATAATCAATTACACTATATTAAATCATACTAATGTAAATTAGGCTCTAATTCCTATCCAATTATTTAATTCTAACTTGTTAAAATTAGCGAATCAGACAGGTTTAATTTTCATTCTAACATATCTATTCAAATAGTACAAGTCAATAAATCTCATAACAAATAAGTGAAGCATCTTAGCATCACCTTAAGTAAGGCTTTTAACAGAGTTAACAAGAGGAAACTGCATATCACTTGAAAGCATTTCCATAACTTAGTTTCAGTAGTGATATCTTTTTGCCTTTTTACACAGTGAAGAGCATATGGAGAAAGTCAAAGAAGATCTTAAGATTATGAGAAACTGACTACACATCAGAACCCATGATGTGAAAACAAGTATGGCCCTAAAATACAAGAGAATAAAATATAAAAAGATTTTATTGACGCCATAAATACACTCGATTATAATATATCACAAGCATTTAAGTGTGAACACTGAAGATAAGCCTCCAAATAAATATATATATATATATATATATTTTCTTTCTAAAAAGAAGTGTGAATACAAGCCTCAAATATACATCCTAAAATCAATAACTAGAATGACCAACACTTTAATTCATACCTCAGAGAGAACCTTGAGCATCTGATCAATGTACCAAATTTTGTCCGTGGAAAACCTATAGTAGAAAATAGAAATTAAGTAGCCTAAACTTCCATATATATATATATATATATTAGACGAGAAAACTAATATACTTTAATTACTTATGATTCTCAGCCAATTATATTGATAAATCTTAGGTTGCAATTTGTCCTACTTGATTGAAGCCCAACCATACATTACATGTTAAGATTACATTATAGAAATAAGTTCATACCACTCTGCAAGGTTTCAACAAGAAAAAGGTTCAAAATTTTAAATGAAACATTTATACTACTTACTTTCCAACAATGAAGCAAATTTTGGCAGTAAGATCTCCTTTGAAATCTTGCTCACTTACTTCCAGATATTCAATAAGCTCTTTTGTCAGAGACTTTACATTGCTTTCATTTACAAGAAGATACACAAGTTCAAGGACCCTTTTCCGAATATAAGCATCTGAATCCTGAAGTTACACAGTGAAGAGCATATGGTAGTCAGTTGCTCTAAAAATATATTGTCTTCTTAAGGATAAACATATTTATCATAGTTATGCAGACCTTCCAAAATAAATAAACAAATTATCTATGCGAAGAGAACAATCCTAGCAAAAAAAAAATCATTCTACAACCAACAATAAAGCATGCAGTCAACTTAATTACTGAACCAACAAACCAGTCCTCAAAACCTCTCTATGACATATTTACATACACTTGGTGAGCATAAATCAAAAAGATCGGAGAAGTATACTGTTCATATGTAGAGCAGGGAATTACAACAACACCAATTTTTAATTCCATTGAATTACATATGAAAGAGATCGGAGAAGATGTGAAGATTTATTACCCGTTAAGAAGGAGATCGCCATAGAGGAGTATGCGAGCGTTAGGGTGGAGAGGGTCAGATCCTTGAATCTGGCGGCGGACGGAAGGAGAGGAGTTGTTGGAAGAGCTGCTAGGAGGAGAGAAAGAGAAAGAGGGAGAAGAACATGGTGTGGCGATTGCTGCCGCTGTGGGGTGGTCGGAGGATGGTGGTGGTTGCTTCGCCAGAGGAAACGACCTCAGCCACGAGAAATAGGATCAAGATGGCGATGGTGGTGGTGACCTGTGGCCACGGCCACGCCATTGGTGGGTGGAATTGGATGTCAATGAGAGAGGTGAGAAGACGGTAGGTCTCTCTTCTCGCTAGAGAGAGAGGAGATGAGGGAATTGATTTACCCATGGTTTGGGTTGAAAACAAAATACATATATAATTAATAATAATTCGCTACTTATTTTTTTAATCCGTCTGAAATTTGAAATCTCCCTCCAAATATATTTAGTTTTTTGGCGACTAAAATATTCTTTTGTCACTATAAATATACTTTTGGCGACCAAACTTTTGGTCGCCAAAGATAAAAACTATTTTTTTTCTTGTCATTCGGCTACTAAATAATTTTAGTAGCTAAAACTAACTATACGGCAACAAAAATATTCTTTCGTCCCTGAAAATATACTTTTGGCGACCAAATTTTTGGTCGCCAAAGATAAAAAATAATTTTTTTCTTTTCATTCGGCTACTAAACATTTTTAGTAGCTAAAACTAGCTCTATGGCTACTAAAATTTCTTTTAGTCGCCAATTGTGATATTTTTGTCTACTAAAATTTTTTTTAGTCGCCAATTGTAATATTTTTAGCTACTAAATTTTTTTTAGTCGCCAATAATCAATATTCCCCGACTAAAAAAAATTAGTAGCTAAATATTTGACTTTTACCGACTAATATTATTTTTGGTAGCCAATTCTGTAACTTTTGGCGACTAAATTTTTTTTAGTTGCCAAAAATGTATTTTCTTGTAGTGTTCCCTGTTTGGTTGTGTGGTCAAAAATCAACACCCACAGTACCCTTAAACCTTTTTCCCTATTCATTGAAAGATTATTTCTATATAAATATTTGGGTTAATTACAACAAAAAAAATCAGGATTTCGCATGTTTTTCAATTTAAATCCCAGAATTTCAATTTCGACAAATTAAACCTTAAAGTTTTATCCGTTTTCAATTTGGCCCCTTCATCCATCTTTGTCATATTAAACTAACGAAAATCTGGGCAAACTTTCATATTCAAACCTACATGTTCAAACAGTTATATCTTCCTTGTCGTAACTCCGTTTCGTCTCATTTTTGCGTCGTTGGATTCACCTCATGGCCTAGTTTTCATTCCAATCTCCATACACCTTGTTCCATACCTTTTTACTTGCTGTCAAAGGTCTGAAAGTTGGCCAAAAATAGGATTTTTTTCTCTTTAGGCAAAATTTTCATATTCAAATCTACATATTTAAGCACTTATATCTCCTCTGTCGTAGCTCCGTTTCACCTCATTTTTACGTCATTAGATTCAACTCATGGCCTAATTTTCATTCCAACCCTTATATGCCTTGTTTCACCTCTTTCTGTATGCCGTCGAATCTTCGAAAGTTGGCCAAAAATAAGTTTTTTTCTCTTTTTTCTATTTATTTTTTTATCTTCTTCCTCCTCCTCCTCTACGGCTCCTCCTGGCTTGTTGCTACTGCTGCTTGTGCTTTATCATCATTAGCTGCAAGATGAGGTGGTGGTGGTGGTAATAGTGGTGGTGTCGTCGAATAGTGATAGGTATACAACTACACATAAAAATCAAAAACCAAATGGGTTGGTGAGCATGTTAGGGAGCCTTGGTTTCCAATCAAGCATCATCCATTGCATCTCCATTGCCAAGAATAATGTTGCTGTGACAACCCTCACCTCTGATTACTGTTAAATTGTGACTGAATATGATAAGTAACTGATTAGGAGGAAATCCTAAATTGATTGCATCAGTATGTTGTTTGGTTGCATTATATCTGTTTGACTATTAAATGATCTGTTCGTGTTGAATTTCAAATTGCGAATTGAAGGCCTTATCGGCGACCGAATCTGAAATTGATTGGTATTTTGTGTTAATTAGAATTTATGTGATTTTATGGTAGGTTTAATTGGAATTTGATTTGGAATGGTTAAATTAGATTAAATAATGTTAAATTGATTGAACCTAGTTATTTACTAAATTGCCATTGAGTGGATTGACTCAAAAACCCACCCTTATTATGCCTTATACATTTTTGATGCATTATCTTTATTTCCTCTAGAGACCAAAAACGTGAGAGAGAGCTAGAGAGTTGGAAGAAGTTGAGTTCACCTAGAATTGGCTTGAAAAATTAGAAGACTTGAAGAGAGAATTGCATAATTGAGCTTCTTTACCTTGAATTCAAGACCTAAGGTAGAGATTTCATCCTCTCATTTATGAATTTGAGTTATATCTTGCAAGGTTCATGGTAATTTAGGAGCTTAAGGTCAAGAATTCAAGAATTGGTTTAAAGAGTTGAATTTGAGAGTGAATTCATGCATGCATGTCTATACCATAGCATTTTGAGGTTGTTCTTCATGAATTTCCGCATGCATGTCCATGTTTTTGTTATGGTCCATGAATTTACCATGTTCTTGAGCTTAATCTTGCATTTGGTCAAGTATTAGAGCACTTAATTCATAAGAGTTCTTGCATGTTATGTTTTTACATAGTTCATGAGAGTTTCTTTGAAATTGGTGTTCAATTGGTTTACCTTTGGGCTTGATTTTACAAAATTGATCTTTGAAACATGTTGGGCTTGTTTGGTTTGATTTTCTGAAAAAAATTTGAGAAATTTTCTCTACAAATAAGTTTTCAAAAATAACCAAACCAAACAAATTTTTTCAAAAAAATTTCCCAAAACTTGTAAACCAAACAAGTTTTCCAAACAAATCTCTCTCTCACACACATCAAATCAATCACTTTTTCCAAAACTCTATCTCAAAATAATTTTCTAAAACATCTTTTAAAAAAAACCAAACCAAACATGTTTTCGTACTTTTTATCTCTAAAACACATCTCTCAAACACAAACCAAACATACCCGTTGTTTTATGGGTTACCAAGTGTTTTCCAAAGTTTTGGCCTAGAAAAATGAGTTTGGAATGGTTGAATGTTGAATTTCATGTTTGGAGGTCAATCTGGGTTTTTCAGAAATTTGACCCATGCTCGAGCGGGGACTTTCACGCTCGAGCGTGAACCTTGAGTACATGCATTCCGCTCGAGCGATGAAAGTTACGCTCGAGCGTGAAATGCGTATACCTAGAAGTTTGTGTGTTTTGCAGCCCGCTCGAGCGAGAGAGTTCACGCTCGAGCGAGGACCTGAGTCTCACGCTCGAGTGGAGGTCGAGCGTCCGTCGAGAGTGAATTGCATGTATCCAGTACTTTTCATGAAGTTTACAGTCCGCTCGAGTGAAGAAAGTCACGCTCAAGCGGAGATCCTTTGTCAGCATGTCCGCTCGAGCGTAGAAAGCCACGCTCGAGCGAGACCCCTGTTTTCTGAAAATTTTGAAAAGTGTTTTAAAGTGCATCTTTGCATCCTCTTTCCATCCTAGGCATTCCTAGGCCATGTTTAAGGCATCTTAATGAGGATATTGATGTAGAACCACACCGAGTCAAGATAGGGACTAAGTTGTTGATTCCCAAGTGTATAACTTAGTGTGTGTTCGTTCTGTAACTGTGTAGGGTTGGCATCTAAGGACGCTCATTAGCTGCTCATAGCCCAGTGCTCTATGAGTAACAATGTTGTAAAGATATGTTCAATTATGAATATTTTCTGAATGATCAACTGTTCTGTTTACTGAAACGCTATTGTTTAATAAACGAATGTTTGTCCTATTTGTAAACTGTATTCGTGGCATCCTTAGCGACTCACTGTTACTGTACTGTTACTGCTATTGTCACAGAGATCTCTGTCGGTTCCCAAGCTTGGAACCACTACTGTTACTGTTATGATGGCCATCAACTGACTGTTCGGTCTGTTAAGACCTATTGTACTATTTTGCTATTGGATGTACCACATATGACTGTTTAATCACTGAAAGGACATTCAATTCTTAACCTCTTTACTGTGACAACCCTCGCTACTGTTTACTGATAACACCACTGATTACTGCTAAACTGAGACTGATCATGATAAGTAATTGAATTGGTTAAAATTCTGAGCTAATTGATTGAGTGTGTTAATTTAAATGCATGTCTATCTGTTTGACTGTTAAATGATCTGTTCATATGTTATGTTTTAAACTACAAATTGAAGGCCTTATCGGCGACCGAATCTAAAAATGATTAGTGTTATGTGTTGACTAGAATTTATGCAATTTTATGATATATTTAATTAAAATGTGATTTGGTATGTTTAAATTGGATTAAATAATGCTAATTTACAAGAGTTAGACTTATTCACCAAATTGCCATGCTTAGTGGGCCACTTTCTCCAACACCTTGAGGCTTGAATACACTTAGACATACCTCTTGCTCAGCCATTTGAGAGACAAACCGACTGGAGAGAGAGAGAGAGAGTAGGAGGATAGGCTTGAATTCATCAAACTTAACTTGGAGACTTGAAGAAATTGGAGGTTGATTGTATAATTGAGCTCTCATTCTTGTAATTGAGGAACCTAGGTATGGAATTTATCCTCTTAATTGTGAGTTAAGTTAGTTCTTGCATGGTTCTTGGAAGGTTGGAGTTTTAAAGTCAAGAATTGGTTTAAGATTGTTGAATTGAAGCTTGAATCATGCATGCATGTCCTTATATGGAAGTTTTGAGGTTATGTACATGGAAATTGTTACATGCATGTTCATACCATAGTTCTAGTACAAGAATTCATCATGTTTTTGGAAGTTTAGACTCAATTGAGCTTGCATTGAAGCTTTGAATTTGGTTGAGCACTTGCATGTCACATTTAAATTATGTTTTTGAACTTTGGATAAAAATTGTGCTCAATTGAACTACCTTTGGGCTTTGATTTCTGAAATTGATCTTTGAAACATGTTATACTATGAGTTTACAAATGTTTTTCAGAAAACTAGCCCAAAAGGATCGATTTTGGTACATTTAAAGTTGATTTTGAGCTTCAAGGTTCAATTTGGAATTTCCAGAATTTGAACTCACGCTCGAGCGGAGAATTCCATGCTCGAGCGTACAACCTGAGTTCATGCAGTCCACTCAAGCGAGGAAAGTGACACTCGAGCGGGAAATGCGTGTATTCAGTACTTTGCCGATGCTTGCAGTCCGCTCGAGTGAGAGAATGCACGCTCGAGCAAGGACTTTGTCTCACGCTCGAGCAGAGATCGAGCATCCGTCGAACGTGAATTGCATGCATC